ATATATATACATCTTTATATATATACACATATATATAAAGAAATTAAAATTAAATTAAATTTTCCTAAGATTAATTTTTTCAATTTAAAATATAATAATTTTATCATCATAGTGATGGCACGGACCTAGAGTTTCGTATTAATTCTCGAGTGATCGCCGTCGCAGTTCCTTCCTTTGGTATCGATAAATATAATAAGATATGGGTTGATCTGCAAATCCGGCATTTACAAAATCAGACAAATTCCTGGAATACGTCATGCGGTCTAATAGATAACACTGGATCGTGGAATCTCGATATTTGCATAGCAAACACGATATCCGGCGATATAGTAACGCATTGTTTGTGCCCTACTACGGGGACAATAGCTGTTTTCTTGACGACCCGAGCAGTAAAAGTAAATATAGCTTCATTTAAGAAAAGCTATGTTTTAACATTCTGTGTTATTCTATTACTTATGCATATCCTAGAATTCTTATGTATGATGAAGTTTATCTACACAAAATTTTCCATATGAGCGAAGAACATTTTATCGTCATCAATTTCGTTATAGGTAGTACTGGCGAAAACAGAACAAACTACGTTCATTATAATATTCGGATGCAGCAGTTGCCTTGTTCAATGTTTACTATCTGCCCTGATACTAGGCACTTTTTGGAGAAAGCACAAAAGCTGGCTGAATTTTCTAAAACTTCAATGCTGCGGTGCATTAATAGGCGCAATGGCCATCTTCATTTACGCCGTCCACACTAATCTTCCAGAGGTAATTATGTCTTTGTTATAAAAAAAAATTTAGAATATTAACTCTATAATTTAAATCTATTAAAAATATAATGTTCTATCATGAAGTAAATTTTATATAAATTATAAAATTGTTATATGAATCTTGAACTTAATTGTGATTAAAAAATAGACACTTCGTTTTGGATATAACTGCACATTTGAGAATCTTACAAATTATAATTTAATCCAATTTAACATCCTCACTAATTTCTCCCTGTTTCAGTCATCTTACTCGCTCGTAGCGATAGGATTAGAGGCATTCCTTCTCGTGGGTATGTCTGCGCCTATTTCCGAGGCTCTAATAGTGTATGCCGAGCTCACGCAAATTCGACCGAGCCAACATCTTCAGCCTACAGTGATCGCTGTAATAACTGGTATGACCTAGATCTAAACCTAGAGCGTTTTAGAGAGAGATGCGTATCGTCAGCATCACTTGTAATCGCTGTTTCTTAGGTGTTCCGATCTTGGCTGTATTTGCAACTGAATTAACGCATAAGAGTACAGGATGGAGACACGAATCCTGGTGGCTTATATATGGCAGTGGTGTCTATAACATATTTGTCAGCTGCGCCACGATGATGTTTTTAGTATTCATACTACTGTATATGGGAGTGCTCCATAAAGTTCACACATTAGTGGAGGAGAATGTGATGAAAAGAGAAGCTATAGAAACAAGGTACATAGGTGCATCAGAATATTTCGTAAAATTGGGCGACTCTTTTATAAGTTTTTCAATCTTTTTTCCATCGCAGAATACGAATATTGCACCGCGCTGCTATCGTCATATGCGGCATCATCGCCATGGAAGCATCCTCTATTTTCTATATAAATTCATCATCTGTAATTTTTCACTACGTATTTGCGTCCTTATCTTTCGCTCTGGTGAGTTTCTTCGCAAACGATACTTATATTGGTTAGATAATAAATAATAAATATATTAAAATTATTCGCTAATTATTGATACGCAGGGCTTCAGTATAATAATCGTATATATCATTAATGGCGAGAATGCAATTATCGGATCAATGCTGCGGAGAATCAGATGGAAACGCAATTTGGATGACAAACATACATCCGAACCCATTAAAGGTATCGTCGTGATGTGAACTTATTGACGTGCATTATGACATCAAAGGGAATTTTTTTTATAAACTATTGTAAAAAAAGCGTCAAAGCTTGATTTACAAAATATTAATACTATTCATATTATTCATTAGTATGCTCAAAAGCTGACGCTGAGATAGAAAATGATTCAGCAACTCCCCCGACATCGTCTTCAATCGCCGGCGAGTATAGGGAGGCACGAGGCGTCGCCGCGGGTAGCATAGATATGCGTGAATTTGTATCCGAGTCTTCGTCTGTCTACGCCAAGTCCTCCGTCCCCACGACTAGATTCCTGCCGGAGATCCGAATAGATCATTCAGATAATATCGATCTTGAGAACTACAATACGAGTCCGCGAAAATATCAAGAGGTGTTCGTCGACTCGACGTTTTCCGCACGTAGCTCTTGCTGTGCCAATGATGTAGTGACCTACAGTGTAAATGAACGCAGCAATTTCCGTGGCGACGTATCGGGCAAATATCGTGGCGACGGCAAGACTTTCCTGCCGACGGCGAACGTGTCCTCCGAGTCCTCGGCCAAAGTTCTTTGCAGTGCCGAAGTAGAGTCGCGGTTAGGTGCGATGCCAGATGTCACATTGGCTGTAAAAAGCGACGTCGAACTGTCATCGCGGGCAAGCGTGGAACTGAAAAGCCGGGAGCACGTGGTGAGCGCCATGCCGGACATCGCTAATACGAGTGAGCGTAAGCAACCCGATGGCGAGGAGAAGACGCCGGAGATCATGGTAACGACAGGTAGCTGCGATAGCGCGACCAGCGGTATGCTAGATCGTATCTCTCACGATCTTGACTATCTGCTTAATCGCACGCACGCCAAAGAAGGAGCTTGAAATCTGTCAAAATTGTGTAATACATGCAACAAGTGCAATATAGATTGTTAAATTTGTACAAAATGGATTTCACCACAAATTTCCACATAAATAAGTGAATCGCAGATCATTTCATGTATCGTAGTTTATTTAGGATAATATTCGTCAATATTGCGTTTTTGCTATGTAATGAGAAGTCAACGTGATAACGCGATATGAACGTATTGGGAGCTGCAAACCAAAGTCTAAATACATATAATCCCTTCTTATTTCTTATATTCTCATATATTCTGCACCAGAACACTAACTGTAATTTGATCACGAATCAGCGATAGTCGTAAAAAAAAATTCGATGCGACAAGTGATTATCATCGCACTCCATCCATCAGAACTTACTTTAAATTTAAATATAATCTCGAAATTTTCATGCTCTATTATAAACATTTACATTCACGTCCATTGTATATCATGAGGAGACTTTACTGTTCCTCATAATAAATAAATAGAATACTAAAGAATAAAATGTACTGTGTAAAAATTCGATTCATGTATAATTATTGTATAGATTTTCAGAAGGTGAGAGTACTCAATTGAGCGTTTCCGAGTTAAAGTATTTATTTATCACTGTCATCGTACAGCCCTTTCATAATATCCACGAGTCAGTCGTCGCGCTTTTTTTCGTCGTTTATAATTTGTATTATAAAGCTATACACATTCAATTTAGTTTGATAATCTACTTACATACTTAAGATCGAAGTTTATGTTGTAGGTAATAGGTACCTCTAGTAGAGTTAGTCGTTTACTTAATGAGAAATGCTTCACTGAAATTGATTCGACCGAGGTATGAAATTGGAGCGATATTTCTCTTGGCCAAGCACGTGTTATAAATGCAAAAGACATAATAAGATCTGTGTTAGTCTGTTAGCACTCGAATATACCTATATGACTAGTTCTCTGTGTTCAACAGATTTTTCTTAAAAATATAAAATATTTACAAGGATTTTTCGGCTAATTTTATCGAGATTTAATCTTGGTTTAATCACATCAATAATACCCAAGTATAGAGCAGGGCCGTGGCTTTATCCGATTACTACCAAATTACGCTATTGAGCCAATATTACATCTCTTATAATCTTGCCTAAGAACTAAAAGTAAAATGAACAAGCACGCTACTGTACTTTCTCTCGCGAATATTTATATTCGCTCACTTTTTTTGACAAACTTTACAATAGACTGAGTATTTTGGCAAACATAATAAATGTGTTAAGAGATCGAAAGTTTTGTCCGAAAGAAAAAAATTAAGAATCCATACAATATTTAAATATTAATGGTATACATACAATATTTAAATATTAATGGATTTTATAATAGCTGTACAATGAAGAGATAGTTTTTCTTACGCATAATCGAATTAATTTTTGTTGATTTGCACGCACAAAATAAATTTTATAGTATACGTTGTCATGATGAAAAGCATGATATACAATTTCAGCGTATTAATTTTTATGTTTTGTAATTCTAAGAGATGTTATGATTCATAACTTTCGTATCCAGATAGGTAGATTACGACAGGTAAGTATCAAATCGTACGTAGCTTCGTATAAATATGAATCAATATCCAGCAGACCTCTAATTATCCTCTTAATTATACAATCACAAGTATTTGGTCTTTTTACATTAGATTTATACATTCTTTGTCGCATACCTATAACGATATAACAGGTGAGACCTGTATAACGTAAAAACTCTATAGAATATAGAGGATCAACGAAATTTGACAATGGAAGTATAACTTCAAGAACCTAAATACGAAAGTAAATATACTAAGCAGTTCCTAATTTGCAGTCATATTCAGCTTAGAGGTGTAGCCACGGCACCCTCCCATTTTTACTTCCATTCCTCTTCATTCTGTTTACTTAAATATAAAAATACATAGCCAGTCTATACATAAAGCGTGCAAAGTGGCACAGTGAACTGAGTTATCAGACGTCCTGGATGGTTAACTACCGCTCTCGCTGATTGTCGGCGGTTCTGCATCATCATGAAGTTTACTCGTTTTGTTACTTGACACAGGTATACCTGAGGTTTTTGGCAGCAGGTTAGTTGCATTATCACTATTGGATGTTGTGGCGTTACACACGGAATTGTCAAAATGTTGCAGGCATGGAAATTCCGAACCAGGCAGCAATAAAGTAGTTTGAGTAGGAAGATTAGTTAATGATACCATTCCTGGCGTTACTATTTGCTTGTTGAAGTATCTCCTCAATGCCTCTTCAATTAAATTGGCTATTTTATCACGATCGTTCTGCAACAGTTGTAAGCATCTTGCTAAAGCAAACTAAGCTTTCGCAAAACGGGATTGCTCATTGGCGATACGAGCGAGATAATTTACCTCATTAATAAATCCAAAATGTACAAGTTCCTGTGCGAGAAGCATTGAGGTGTCCATTTGGCTTACAGGACACGTCAATTGCCTATTCATTTTGTCATCCATTCGCAACAATATTGTCATCTGAATAAAATAATATATCGATTTAATAATATACCGATTACGTACTCCATAGATTATCTCGCTAAAATGTTCTCTGGACCACTCACAAGTAATTCACTACTATCTTCTCTAGGCTTAACATTACACATCATATTAACTACTCTTCGAGACTCCACGTCCACGGGCTCGGGTGTAACCGATTTAACCGATTCTGTCACTTCGGGCGATATCGCCCTCGGTCGGACAGGCGGAGGTAATTTCGCCATAAATGCAGTCAATGGATATATTCCGTACCTGGCAATGTAAAAGCACTCTGGTTACCAATTATCCGATATAAGACACAAAATCCAGGTCGATGTATCTCTCGATTGAGATACTCACTTTACATCTTCAACAAATTTTTCTAATTTCTCCGTAACAGGAATATCACTTAAACGAATTTGTTGCGGAGGTATTCCTTGATACTTTATTTCGGCGACTACAGTATCTGGTCCATATAGCCTTTGTAACACTTCGTCTGTGATTGTTTCCGAAATGTTAGCTATAAAAAATTTCAATGTTATGTGTGATTCATAATCGTAATCATTATAAGTATCTTTAAGAATTATCCCAGCTATTCTAAAAAAATAAAAATTAAATAATAAAAATTAAAGAATATATAGATTATTCATTTGCTTCAACTTACTAGCTGAGTTGACCAAGGCATGTGCTGCAAGCAGCTTGAGAGAATGTACTTCAAACAGAACGGGATGAAATAGCAATTCTCTCGCACTCGGTCTACTAAGCGGGTCCACCTGAAGACATTTACGAATAAAATCTTTTTGTTGAACATCATCTAAAGATTCTATTGTCTTCCGGATGTTTTCTTCAGTAACAATTGTACCCGTATCACCGTTTCCTTGAATTTCCAATGCAGCCATCTCCAAAGCACACATTCCGAACGAATAAATATCAATGGCAGGTGTAACGGAATCTTAAAAAGAAATAAAAAATAGTTTGAAAATGTTTTAAATGTGATTCATGTATGTATAAACAATGCACTTACTTCCATATTCTGGGGCAACAAAATGCATATTCTTCATGTTTGTTCTACAAGTCTTGATGTGATGATGAATTGCGTCTGGGGCTACTGTAATTAAAAAGAGATCATTGCTACTTTCATAAACTATTTCAAGAAAAACGTCAACATAAAAATGACATATTAATGTGAACGTATTCGACAATGTGTTAGAGTTGGTAGGGCAGCCACCAGACAGAATGTTACATATAATATGTAAACAATATATTTTTCTGTAGACATTATAAACAATAGACAATGAACATCAATAGTTTTAAATATATAATATTTACTACGCATTCTGTATGTTTGCTGCCAAGATGAATGACTAAACCTCTCTAGAAAAATTGTGTTTCAGCTAAAAATTTATCCTAAAAGTAACTTGAGCCCTCGTACAATTAACAGTTTTCACATGTATAAATGTAAAAGTGTCTCTGAAAAGAGAAGCATGCCCCTTGGATGATCAGATGTACAAATAAAACATAAATTATTTCGTAAAAAATAAACTATAATTTTTCTGTTGATTGCACAGTTCTGCTAGAAAGAATTACTTTTGTTGAGTTAAAAGTATAAATTTGGAAAGTAAAATCCTTTAATTAAGAATTATAGAGCATATGAACAAAAAGCTATATAGATATTAAAATATAATGAAAATGCGTGTGCTAGGTGATTGTGAGAAGGACAAAGAGGCACGAAAGACATTTTGCCCTTCTTAGTTAAATACAATTAATAACCAGAACAAGATAAATAGTGCAACATAGTGGCACTAACATAATAAAAATAAATTTTAATTATTTGTACATTTAATGGAGCTACTTAATAATTAGTATAGGAGTTGTTTACCTCTCTATGCCTAATTTACTTAGCTGCTAATAGTTGATGACAATCTGCCAAATGATTTTTTTCTTGAAATTCATCACCTTTGACAATAACACCAATTGACCAATAACGCCAGACACCGATGTTAGTGGACTTATCCTCTGGATGGGTGAAAGTACGATTTGTACTTCCTCTCTCTTCAAAGGCTTTGCTGTGTTTTTTTCATTATCTAGATTAGCCTATTTGCTACAATTAAAAATGAGGACTCAAGTTACTCCTAATATGAAAAGGCAATTTAACACAATTTTTCTAATGGACTCATGTTACTAACATCATATAAAATTACAGGGAAATACGTGTTATAATAGAGTATTAATATCTATAAATAATTCTTCAAACACCATTTAAATTAAATCGGTATAATTGCATTCATTCCTATATAATCAATTCGATTCTTAACATACATATATTCATACATTCACATAAATACATACATATGTACACACACACGCGCGCGCGCGCGCGCACGCACGCACACACACACACATATTAAAAGACGTTATTTACGCTAAAAAAATTAACTATTGTATTTACAAATGATTAATAAATATCACGTTTAATATATGTATCCCTGTTAAATACACCATAATAATATTGTTTTAAAAATATTCAATTTGATGATACTGTCTTACAATTATAATTATTTAAAACAAATAATTATTTTGTAAGACATAACTGAGCATATGTATGTATATTTATGTAAATAAATTTTTTCGTAAAATTCGTGTGCCAAAATCATTAGAGAAGCACCTATGTGACACATAATGATGAATCATATTATTTGTCATGTTTTCGTTCAGTCAGGAACTGAGTCATATAATTATTATTTATTTCAGCTGAGTAATGAGTAAATAAAAAGTACATATATGTATATGCACGATAGACTTCTGAGAACATCTACTTCACTTTTGTACGTATGGATGCTAAAAAAAAAAACAGATTCGACACTTAGAAAACATATAATAAATTGAGTAAAAAAATATTGCAGTGTTAAATATTTCTTGCTCATTTAAATGAGTAAAATATGTCTTTTAAGATTTGAGTCTTGATATCCTATGTAAACACAAAAAAGAAAGAAAGCTGGTAAAAATATAATTGCTACTGTCTTTATATCTCAAAGAATCTCAAAGAATTTTTATGACAGATGAAAAATTATCGACAAAATAGAAACATACGCTTCTACAACCTGTGAATGAAAAGATGAAAATATCTCATACATATATGTATATAATCTCATCTTGTTACGTATTACTTTTTGTTCAGAAAATAATGATCCTATCGTATAATGATCTATGTTTACCATACACAAATTCAAATATAATATATGTAATATATGTAATATATGTAAAATTCAGACAAGCTATCTGGTTTTGTTTAGATATAAAATGATAGCTCTATACACATTTTATACTCAATGTAGAGAAAATTCTATTTCTTTTTATATAAGTACTTACCTGAACCAATTTTTACAAGTCCGTTATGTTGGATAAATATAGTGTCACAGGTAAGATTCCCATGTATAATAGGAGGTGAACAGGAATGCAAATAACTGAAACATTTCAAACGCAATATAAATCGAGAATAAGTTGTACAATACATATTACATGTGTGTGTGTGTGCGTGTGTGTATTGTATATACAGAGTGTCTTGAAATTCGTTGTAATATTATTACAGCGTGAAACTTCGTGAAAAATTAAGTAATAAAAGTATAAGCAATTTTTTTCCGTAAGTTTTTTAAGTATAAACATTTAAAGTTTGACTAATCGAAAGCGTTAATTAAAACATCATCTGTCCATATGATACATGCAACGGCAATATTTTGTTTAGTATCAATTATCATTGTCTCATGGACAAATGATTTTTTAACCAACGTTCATGATTAGTGAAACTTTAAATGTTTATACTTAAAAAAACTTACGAGAAAAAATGGTTTACACTTTTATTATTTAATTTTTAGAAGTTTCACGCTGTAATAATATTATCCTCGAATTTCGAGATATCCTGTATATACATTTATATATTGTATAACATATTGTATATATTGTTATACCTGAGTGCAGAAAGTATTTGCGTACACCATCGTTTCCACGCTTGTAGCGGCAATCTTTTAACATTACGTTTCGTTCGTTTTAGGAACTGTTTCAGGGACCCGGATGACATATATTCCGTTATAAATATAACCTGAAAAATAATATAAAAGAAATATTAATAAAAAATATGCAATTGTATTATATAGACATAACGAAAACTGTATCCGTAATGTATAAGTAGTTTACTTACTCGGGGTTTGTCATTATGGGTATCTGTCCAATACCTATGAAATTTAACAATGTTAGGGTGTTCCAATTGCGTGAGGTTCTCAAAAACAAGTTGTATCTTTTCTTCCTGGGCCTTGAAGTTTTTCCTTTCTGAAAATTGCACTTCATTCCATACCACTTCAACACCTTCTTCTGTATCCATCGCCAAATAGGCACAGTCAATTCCTGGAACATCTCTTTGTTCCACCTATAAACAAGCATTAGTTTATATATAATCTATATACTTCTGTAATTACTTTAACAAAAAGTAAAGAACTACGAAAAATACATTTATTACAAAAACATATAGTGCAATATATATTGTTAGTAATTAGTGTTATGTAGTCAATATATTCAATTATATTCGAGTTTATGGCTGTTATCCAAGTATTCCATTATTTTGGATATTATTTAAGTATTTGATGTAAATACATAAATACATTGTCAAAACGCTTTATAAACACATGCTACAGATTGTGACTGAGCAGATTTATTCAATATAATCTATGAGTCTATATATAGTATAATGGACTGTATTACCGTAATCATCCATTTTAAGTGTACTTAAAGTGGTGCTGAAACGATTTCAATGCCTATTTACTATTACATGAATGTGACCTTGTGAAGAATTTGAGGAGGGGGAGATAATTCAGAAGAGGGTTTGCCACACTGTAGACATTAACGATAATAATTGAACTTGTCGGACTTATTCATAATAATACTATAATGCATGTAAATTGTTGTTGTCTCCATTCAAATTAGGAGTATAATTCTGTGCAAAATACTTTAAAGAAATAAATAACTCAACGCAAGTACAATAAAACATAGAAATTATCCTGCCTGCTGCTTTGCAACGTACGTACTTCCATTGTATCAGTAACTTCGTTTTCTGTTCCTCGTGTAGATCCGAAGCTAGAACCCTCAGCTAACGTTGATTTGGAACCTACATATACCTGAATAGGCACATTTCCCACAATTAATAAAAAATATACTAAATAGATATAAAGATTTATCTCTATGCACACATAAATATACATATAGAAGATAATATCTTTATTAATCTATTTCATAAAAGCCATTATTTTTCATAAAATATAAAAAGCTAGAATCACAATACTTACTTTACAAAATATAAACATTGATAACTTAAAAGAATTTTAGTTATTATAAAATATAGAATATAGCAATAATATAGAATATAGCAATAAATAACGTTAAAAAACTTAATAAAATTATTTGTAATAAAAAATATGTTTTAGTTTCTAAATTAAAATTCTTATTAAAATTATATGATAGTGCAAAATCGATGAGACAAATATTTCACAAAATGTGATCAATAATTATATTGGAATAAATAGTCCAAAAATACAAAAAGATAATTCAGATAAATATTAGAATAAACTGTATGAAACGAAGCATAAAACCAATCTTTACTAGCGTCTTTAAGACGATAAAGATTGTTTTATTTCTAAGCAGAGAAGCTGCGTGCGAGGTAAGCATGATCAAAATAATTTCATTGATTTACATTCAATAACAGAACGTCAGCAATCTATTTTTAGGATAAAATATGAATGAACCTAATATTGGTTAGACATTTGTGCCAAGAATGTAAGTTAAGATACAGATGAAGTATACTAAATAATGTGAGAAGCACAATAGTCTAAAGGAGATATTTCATGCAAAAGCAATTCTCTAATCTAAAACCTTTTGAACCAGCTGGATACATATAACCACTTGTATAAATGCAACATGAAATGAATTATGCTAATATTTATTATAACATGAATAAAGACAGTTAAATAAATTCATATTAATAAAAACTTCACTGCTTAAGAGACATTCATAAATTAAAATATAAAGAAACATAA